CAACTGTGGCCCCTTGACCAAATCCAAACTTCACAAAACAAATCCCTTTGTTAAAAAGATTTGCCTGTAAAATTTGGATTCAGTCAAAAGGCTGCACTCAAGGATCCAGAAGGCCATATGTGGCCCCAAAGCTGCAGGTTCCCCACCCAAAAATAGACATACATGAAATCAGTATCTTGAAGAGACATGCACACTACCCTGTGCACTGAAGCATTATTCACAATAGCCAAAACACGGAAACAATCTAAATATTCACTGATGGATGAATGGATAAAGAAAATGTCTATATATATATGTACATATAATGGAATACTATTCAGCCTTAAAAAAAAGAAAAAAGAAAATCCTGCCATTTGTAACAATGTGGATGAACCTGGAGGGCATTTTGATAAGTGAAATAAGCCAGACACAGAAAGACCTCACTTACAAACTAAAATAATCAAATTTAGAAACAAAGAGTAGAATGATCATTGCCAGGGGCTAGGAGGAGGAGGAAACTGAGAGATGTTGGTCAAAGGGTACAAAGTTTCAGTTATGAAAGATGAATAAGGTCTGTAAATCTAATGTACAGCATGGTGACTATAGTTAATACTATATTGTATACTTAAATTGTGCTAGGAGAGCTGATCTTAAGCGTTCTCACCACAAAGAAAAAAAGATAGAAAAAAGAAAATGGTAACTATGTGAGGCAATAGATATGTTAATTAGCTTGATTACAGTGATCATTTTATAACATGTATGTGTATCAAAACATCAAGTTATATACCTCAAATATATAAATACAATTTTTATTTGTCAATTATACCTCAATAAAGCTGAAAAAAATAACATAACATGACATAAATACTTCCCTATGAATTTCTAGCAGCTCTTGTCAGTCAACCTTCCCAAAGAGAGACTTTATTCTGCTGTACTGTCTTTTAAATTTCTAATACTAATAACTTTCACAATATTGCCTCTGATGTGATCCAAAAACTCTTGTGAGATAGATGTCATATAAAGTGAAGTTGGTATGAAACACACATGAAAAATAATTCTATAGTGAGGGTAATTAGATTGGAGTTGGGAGTTGAAAGGATGCTTTACCTTTAGCTATAATGTTTTAATTTTTAAAAATATATGTATATGTGACAAAACACTAATTGTTGATATTTTGAATGGTAGGAATACACACACACACACACACTCACTTGTTATATCATTGTTTATACTTTCCTATAGTTCAAAAAAATTTTTAAATGTGAACTATGTGAGAAAACTACAGTTGAGAGAGAGCTTAAATGGCCTCTAAGGTAACACCACTAGTACAGGTAGAAACACCTTCCATGTCTTCTTATTTCATTAAACGGGAGGTTGCAGTTCTTAAACAGAAATCTCAACAAAGGATACAAGGAAAAAGGCCCTACGGATATCATCCAGATAGAGCTGCCGAAACTGAGTTATATCAGTATTATAGGAGAATTGGATACTGGTGAGCTGTAAGATAACAATAAAAATGTTAATGAACAATAACAGCTTACTTCTATACTCAAAGGCAACCTTATAATGGCTAAGTTACAATGGCTAGAAACATACCCTGTGCTGACAAAAAAATCAACAATAAATCTTTTCCTATATCTTAATTATACCTTAATAAAATCCACCAAGAGGCAAAATATGTTGCTAATAATACACAGAACAGAGTTGTAGTGTTGATATATGTGTCATAAAAGTAAGAATTGGGCTTTTTCTTATCTTATATAAATGTTTCACTTTTAAATCCCTATATAATTCTTCCTTCCTCCTGATCTTCTTAAACCCAAGTATGGTATGATATTAAAAAGTGTGATAAAATTAAATATTTCTCTGTTTCTTTGTTCCTCTGTTAATTCTATTTGCAGAGAAATTATTTTCTTCTTATAAAAAAGCAAAATATTCCTGTCTTTGGTAAAACAGAAAGTCATTCAACTCCAACAAGATGGGTGCACTCTTGCTTCATTCTCCTCCCCCCAAAAAAGAACACTGACAGGTGAGTCCAAAGGAAGACATTCTCCACCTTCACTCCCCATGTAATTTTCCCGTAAGTTCTTAGGATGTTTTAATTCACTTTTGTAGAAAGAGATAGACTTGATTTCAGTTAAAAAATAGAATTTAAAAAGTAACACAATGATCCTCAAACTTCTGAAATATTTAATATTAACGATAATCTCTATTTACATGAATTTGATCAAAACTGCTTTTCATGTATTGTTTTAATGTTCTAAGGTTGAAAGTTAAAAACCAGTAATTATTAAATACACTTTCATAAAGTTTCTTCTTTATTGAAATCAATTATTCTGAACTATCAATTACCCCCCTATAAACTCAGCTGGAACCAGTTAAGGAAGGATCTACCGTGAAGGTGTTTTTCTGCAATATCATTTTATCTTCAGTAAAATTGTAAATATTCTATCACCAATTTCTTAGAATTATCTTCAGTTCTAAATAAGACAAGAGACATTAATTCAACTCTCTATCTTAGCATGATAAAGGTATTCTCAAGATTTTGTTGGATGTTAGCCAGTTCAAAGTATACTGTGTTGCAAAAGCAGTCTAAGATCTGGATGAAGGCCACAATCATTAAAGCGACAGAATAAGCATATTGGATCAGGATGACTAGAAAGAGAAAAACAACAATGGGAATTTAAATGTCACCTTATGATCAAATTCATAAATCGTGACAACATAAACATAAACATTCTTCTGACTAAAATAAATTGGTGGAAGGAAAAACTGGATGTGCAAACCGAGGAAAATAAGATAAAGAACATTCTTTTCTCCTCTATCCCTTCATCTATAGAAAGTAGAAAGAATTTTTCAGGAAATAATATTACAACTTCTTTATAGGACAAAGAATATTTTAATATTCTCACATAAACACAACAATGATTTTGACACGCTACCTTCTGTTTACAGGAAACACCAGATCGTTGTAGGGTTTCTCGTTCCATGTATATCCAGACAAACATCAAACATGACAACACTAATGGAAAGAGAGCTTCGTACCTAAGGGGT